TTCTCTCTCTCCTCCTCTCTCTCTCTCTCTCTTTCTTGCCCTCTTTGCTCCTCGTCTTTGTCTGAAAGGACCAGCAGGACAAGTCTTGGCTGTCCTTGCCCCGTTCAACCTTTTTTTTTCTGTTTGCTGCTAGGACCCTAAATTCCTCCACAGAGCTTTCTAGAAGCCTTTCCCCCCTCCTTTCCCCCTTTCATAAAGGCTGTAGGGGCTTCATTTCTTTAGATCCCATCTGTTTAGTTCCAGTGTAAGAGATCAACCTCTCCTGTTTGAAATCTTATCACTATTCCGCCCATTACACAAACTTTTCACCGCCCCTTCACGCCTCCTCACGCGCACATTTACCCATACAGTAGATTCCCCCCCTCCCCTTCTATAACATTGCTGGTTGGTCGTTGCTAAGAAACAAAAGAGGGAAACGCAGAAAAAAAGTAGGTTGCAATGGATATCAACTCGCTTCTATCGCCGTCAGACGACTACTCGTCGCCGGCGAATCCCTCCGCTTCCCCGCGTCCATCGTCTCGACCAGCCTTCATCGATACAGACTCCAATTCCCCGATTCACTCGGGCCACACATCCAATACTACGCCAGCCTCAAATCCCCGACAGTCGCCCTTCAAAGTTAGCGAGGCGTCTACTTCGAAAGCATTCACCGCGCCAGGAATGAGTGGGCCATCGGAGGAAGTTCGGGATGAGGTCATGACTGGTGGAGACGGTGACGATGCCACTGCTGCTGTCGCGGTTGGCGATGGCATTGGCGCGGCATACGAAGCCGTTATGATGGATGCATCCGATGGTGACGAAAACGAGATAGCAGCACCAGTGCCCCTGTCGGAGGAGGATTACGTGCGCATCGCCGATCTTTTGGCTTCTATCACCGACCGGCCCTATCAGTACGAATCTCATGTGGAGTATATTTCCCTTTTGCGTCGCGGTTTCCTCGCTCACCGGGCCGACCCGAGGGAGGCGGGGCCATACCCCCTCATCCAGGACCTGCGGAAGGCTCGCGAGGACATGATAGAGAGGTTTCCTCTAAACGAGACTATGTGGGCTGAGTGGATTGCCGACGAAATATCCATTTGTGGTGGTCTCGAGGAGCGTCTTGGTGTCATGGAGCTTTGTGCCAAGGCTGTCGAGGAGGAGTCCGCCAGTGTTAAGCTGTGGAAGACTTATGCTGAATATATCGAGTCCCAGTATTCTCTGGGGAGGGACGGAGATGCTATCGGCAAGGGTAAGGCTAAGAAGGTCCTTAGCGAGGAGGAGGAGGTTACTTTGAGGGAGTGTTTTACTTTGGAACTGGTTGTTGAGACTTATCGGCTGGGCTCACTTGCTACCAAGGATAATGTTGCTGAGAGCCATGTGCTCTGGAATAGATATCGCGATTTGATGATGATGGATTTGGAAGCCAACTCAACGCAAGTTCTCCTCTACCTTGTTCATGGATAAAGCTAACTGGTCGCCCAGCCCTCTAAAGGTTGAATTTATTCGAAGTCTTTATGTCGCTCGTCTCCAAGTCCCACACACCACCATCAGTGATACCTTCTCTGGATTTAGCTCCTTCACCACCAGATATGACAACGCGAATTATGAATCTACAATGGTTAGCACCAACAAGCTTTATTCCGCAGCCCTGGCAAAGTACAATGAGCGCTCCGTGTATGAGGATCGTCTCGCTAAGCGTGGGCAAGTCTCCTTGGCAGAGGAATGGAATGCTTGGGCGGAATATCTGGAATGGGAAACCTCCCAGCCGAAGAAGAAACTCGACGTAGACATGGCTTGCGCACTCTATGAACGGTGTCTACTTTGCTTCGGTGAACAAGCCAGAGTTTGGGAAGAATATGTCTTTTTTGCTCTTGAGAAATCATTAGGCCTTCGTGTTAAGGCGCTTTTGAAACGTGCTACGAGACATTGCCCATGGTCTGGGACACTGTGGGCCCAGTACATAATTTCTTTGGAGAGGGCGTATAGGCCATTTGAAGAGGTTTCTGATATCAAACACCGGGCCACCACTACTGGGATGTTGGATTTGGGCGGTTTGGAGGAGGTTTTGAAAGTTAACATTGCCTGGTGCGGGTTCTTGAAGAGAAGAGCTTTTGAACACGACGCCGGGGAGGATGATTTCGATATGGCAGAGATGGGGATATCTGAGGCTGTTACTGGTAGGGGATTTCGCGCTCTTTCCTCCGATTATTCAGATATCTGGCTGACACCGCACACAGAAACCGGCAAAAAGGATCCTGAGTATCGCCTTCAAAGGATTCATATCAACTTCTGTACTCTTGCTAAGAAAATTGACTCTGCAAGGGAAATCTGGAAGGAGCTTGCTAAGACCCAGGGCAATTCCTATGAATACTGGTTACGTTACTATCACTGGGAACTTTCACATGGACCAAAGGACAAAGATTATGCAGGCTCGGCTCTAAAGGCAGCTCTGAAGAGGAATACCTTAGATTGGCCTGAGAAGATCCTGGAGATATGGAAAAACCATGTTGAAGATTTCGGAAACGTCGAGGATGTCGAGTACGCGACTGTCCGTTATCGGAAGCTTTCTAAAGAGATTCTGGAGAGGCGAGCACAGGTGGGAGACTCTTGTGTCTTATAAGTTTCGTGGTTGTCTCAGCACTGACATCGATTCTCCAGGAGGTACAAGCTGCTGCTCTGCAGCAGCAGACAATGAAGGACCAGCAGCAGGAGGCAGATACACCACAGACTGATGAATCAGCTAGGGCCAGTTCCAAGAGGCGTCGAAGTGTTGCTGAGGCTGATGATTCTCAGCCCAAAAAGAAATCCAAAGCTGTTGAGACCTTGGCTACGGTGAAGCCAGCCGCCCACTCACCTCCTTCGGCGTCTTCCGTGGCGAAACGTGACCGCGAGAATACCACCGTGATCGTGAAAAACCTGCCACTGAATTACCCGGAGGTGCGGGTCAGACAGTTTTTCAGAGATGTAAATTCCTCATTCCGCTCCACCCTAGAAAGTTTTTTGGTCACTAACATGTGACATAAAGTGCGGTACGATCAATAGTTTAAAGCTTATTGTGGAGAAGGATGGAAATACTTCAACTGCAACTGTTGAATTCGAGAATAGAGAAGATGTTCTCACTGCTCAGACTAAAAACTTGAAGATTGTTGATGGGCACTCTATCGAAGTTCAGGTTGGGACCGGGTCAACCCTCTACGTTACAAATTTCCCGCCGACTGCCGATGAGGCGTATATCAAAGATTTGTTCAAAGATGTAACCCCCCCCTCCATAACCCAACCACAGATTACTAGATACTAGAAACTGAGAGGTAAAATTCAGTGCGGCGAGATAGTCGACATCCGCTTTCCAAGTTTGAAGTACAATACGCATCGGCGGTTTTGCTATGTCCAATTTGCTTCGTCTGATGAAGCTCAGAAGGCGACCTCTCTGCATGGCAAACAACTTGGAGGCAAGGAAACGCTTGTGGTTAAGATCTCAGCGCCTGATCAGAAGCATGAGCGGTCTGGCGCAGTGTAAGCATCATCGTCCCCCATGTACCAGAACCGTAACTGATTGTTCATCAAGATATGAGGGCCGAGAGGTGTATATCCGAAATATAGATTTCCAGGCGCACAATAATGACGTCCAGGAATTGTTCCAGAAATATGGGACAATAGAGAAGGTCCGCCTGCCGCCCGGGCCCAAGAAGGGCACTCACAAAGGTTATGGGTTTGTGACTTTTTCTAAAAAGGTAAACTAAAAGTCCTCCATTCTACAATGCATAAACTAACAGTTCGGTTACAGGAGGAAGCCCTCGCAGCAGTAGAAGGGGTGAACAATACCCAGCTCAAATCCCGAACACTCATAATCAGCATCGCAGACCCAAATCCTAGCAAGCAAAAGACCAATGCCGGCCCCTCTACAGAAAAAGCAAAAGATCCAACACCTGGTCGAAATATGGATCACCCCCGCCAAAAATCACTTGGTCCAGCAAACCCCGCTACCTCTCCCCAGCCCTCCGCTCCTGCTTTCTCTGATATCAAGAAAAAAACGCTCGGAATAATGAACCTCTCCGATACCGTAAACGACACCAAGATCCGCCAAATGTTTGAAAAGTATGGTCCGCTGCGCAAGGTCACCCTGAGACCCGACCACCAAGGCGCAATCGTGGAATACGAGTCCGTCGCCGACGCTGGAAAAGCTACCCTCGCACTCGACGGGTTCGAACTCGCCGGCCGCAAGATCAAGATCGGTGGGTTGGCGGACCTGATGCGGCAGTCGCCGGAGAGAAAAGTGGCTAAAGGGTTTCCTATAAACAACGGGGGTATCAAGGGCGGGGCGGTTGCGTTCAAGCCCAACCAGGTGGGCGCGGGAGCGGGAGGAATGAAGGGACAGAAGAGAAGAGCCGGCTTGGGCTTTCCAGGCGCGGTCAGAAAGAAGGAGGATGTTGACGGGAAGAGCGAAGATACAGTGATGGTAGATGGGCCGCAGGCCAAGGAGGCGCCGAAGACGAAGTCGAATGCTGATTTTAAGGCAATGTTTTCGGGGAAGAAGTAGTGGGCGAGGACGGATGTATGGATGGATTGTAGATTAGTCTTCTCGTTGAGGTGTTGGCGTGCGATGTAGTGTGATGATAAATCGGAAAGTGGAAGTGAGGGTGGAATGTGGACAACTGATAAAGGACTTTTTTATTTTTTTTATTGTGATCTTATGTGCTTGCGGGTGGGGGTTTGGGTGGTTTAATCATGGGTAATCACTCGGTGTATGTTTCGGGGGGGGTGGATGGGTAAATAGTAGTATTTTGATCGGGTGGTGTGGATCTATTGTTGCTGTTGTTGAGCGCGACAAAATTAGGAGCTCTGCTCGCCCTTTGTCTCGTGTCTGATAGGTGTGGCCGAATGATGCAATACCAGTACCTTGCCGGTGCAACACTCCGGAAGACACATTCACATCTCATCACTCGCACCACCTAAAGCCCCCCCCCCCCCCCGCTAGGTTCTTGGTGGAGTGGTCTACTCTGCACCGAAAACAACGGATTCCAGGACTCATTTTTTCATCTAGCCCTTCCAACTTTTGGTTGCTGTGATATCTTGGTGCTCTGGTGTGAATTCCGCTCGCTTTGGTTGGCGGGCTGGGGATTGGCTAGTTCTGGGGGTTTGAAGCTGCTCTAATGTGCCATTTAAACACAAAACTGCCATGACGAGGTATTGTCAACTTTGAAGACCGGTAATTCAACCACCAAAGGTAGATAAGCCTGTGAGTGGCCTCTGTTAAAGGGTTGAATGGGCATGGGGCCCATTAGGTGGACTTTGTGCACTGTCTGGAGTAATTCTGGTCGCATGGCGTTGGAAAGCGTGGCTGGTTTTGGTGCCAAAGGGCGGTTTCACCAGGACTTTTGCGGAGGGGCTTTACATACATGGCAGGGAGACCTATGTTTTGGACCACAGGGAGTATTTGAGAATAATGTACACGCACTTCATAAGTCTCACCCATCAAACCTTTAAGAACTTTGAGCAGAGTAACGCCGTCGCAACGCTAACCTATCTTGTGTTAACGGTTACCCAAGACCACAAGGTGATTACACCGTAATCGGGGAAAGAGAAAAAACTCACGTTCAATGAATCCACCAAACCACCAGCACCGGACCCTTTACCCAGACTAACACAAAACTTGGCCAGCTTCTTCAGCAGCGGCCGGAGACCGTCCCCCTCGTTGCCCACCAGAAGCACTACAGGGCCCTCCCTAAGTGCCTCAGCCACCTCGGATGAGTGGACGTATCGATCTCTGCGGGCTTGGTTCTTCGTCGGCGGTGGGATGGCAGCGTACACTGTCCAGCCGTTTTCCGTGGACTGAGTTATCATGCGTTCGCTTCTTGCGTGCTCAAATATTGGGAAGAGTTCTGCGGCCCCGGCGGAGGCTTTTAGACAGATGGGCGTGAGGCGGGCGCTAGTTATTGTCTGATGTTAGATGTAATGTGAATGGGGCTGAGTGTGAATTACCAGTTTCTTGCCGTGATGGTCACAGCATCTACGCCCAGGAAGTAGGCTGAGCGGAGGATGGCCCCCATGTTGCCGGGATCCAACTGGGTGGGTGGATGGATGAATGGATCAGTAGAGGTTCCGATCTAAAACTGCGAGGGGGGGGGCTCACTATTTCGTCTAGCATGAGAACGAATGGGTATCTTCTTGTTGGGTCCCTGCAGCGAATCTTATCATAATAGTGCTCGACCACTGGCCGGCCGTCGAAGTAATGCCTGGCCATTTCCAGTGTAAAGAAGTTTTTATCTTCTTGGACGTTTTTGAGTGCTATGATGGGAGTTCTTTTTATGGGCAGGCATTCAAGAATATAGCCCTGGATGATAGTCAATTAGGTTTGTTATCAACTTGGGCAAATACATGTGAGCGTCAGGAGAGAGGTGGCGGCCCGGAGCAGAGCATACCTACATTATGCGGCCTCGAGTTGCTCATACTATCCATCTTCCCTATGTCCTCCTCGTCGACAATTTCTACACCCGCGGTCCGCGCCAGATCCTTCATTTCCCGATCCCGCTCTCGAGCGGCGGGTGTTCTGTTATGGCCTGCGTAGACGTAAAGTTTGTATAGTTGTTCCCTCCGTCTGCACCTCAGAGCAGCCTCTACCACAGAGGTGCCATATATCCATTCTGCCTCGTCATTTACTTTTGGTATATATCGACGAGGGGCAGGAGTGTAAGGGAATTGAGGGGGTTCGTGGTCAAGTCGAGGTGATAGTTCTCGTCTTGGCTCCGGTTCGAAGTAATCGTCCTCAGGTTCTCCCTCTCTCCTGGCGGCAACTCGTCGGACTATGGGACTGGGGGGCGGAGGAAAATTTTGGTAGTTTGCAGGCTCGGGATCATAGTCGTACTCGGGGGTATCTTCTTGAGGATCATAGTACCGGTAATGATCTGCAGCAACTGAACGACGGAGACCGCGGTTGATGGCAGAATCTGTGGAAAGCGATCGGAGTAGGGGTTTGTAGAGCACTTTGATAGGGTATTTATGCAATAATCGAGTTAATTGGGGGGTGTTCATTGTGGTTTCCACTGCGTTGTATCAGCCTTCCAATTGGGCCTGGATAGTGGGGGGAGAATTATTAAGGGAGGAAGAGCCGTGGGGGTTTAAGCCTCCATTTTTCGGGCTGCTTACCAAGCGGCAAATTCCAGGCCCGTGACATCCAGATGATTACCGCAAAACTTCTATGCGGGTAGGAATTTCATGAATGCAGGTCGCGTATCACTCAGAGCCTCCATCTTGTGTTGATCTCTGATGCTCGCCAACCAAACGCCTCTTTAACCTTTCCGTCAGGTCGCGTCTTCCCAACCCACCCTTCACTCCCTTTCCCAACCCTCTCTATTGACTTCACCTCTGTCCCCTTCCACCCCCGCCCCCTTTCCCCACCGCCACAAGTATCAAACTTTCCTTTTACCCTCAACATCCTTTCTTCTCACTTTCTCACCCATTTGCTTCCTCTTAGCCCTTCTCTGGCGACGCGTCCTCACCCGAGAGTACAAACAATTTAGCCATGCCGCTAACGGCAGATAGCGACATTGAGATGTCTTATCACTCTGAAAATGAGGTTGAGGCTCCAGACGAAGCGTCTGCCCAGCTTCTGGCGGCACTCAGCCCAGCCCCGGGTGATCGTGTTGAACCGGAGTTCGCCATCGATCTTCCTACACTCGAGTCTCTCGGGCTCAACCGTGATGACTATCAGAGTTTCCCTGAAGAAAGGCTCATCAAGAAGATCAGAGCGGAAGTGGAGATTATGGGTGTGCTCCACTGCAAGGCAAACCTTGCTGATGGTAGCCATGTTATGGTAAATTTCTGTTCCTGGAAAAAATTATTCAACCTCTGGCGGGAAATTCTAACCGCGGATCGAATTGACAGATGCCCTACACTCAGCTGGCCCGCTACGATAATTGGGAAAAAGCATATGCGGATTTTGTTAGCCGGGACAACACTTTGCCGGACGCGACCAGTTCTGAGGAGACGGGCTCTGAGCGGGATACTTCCGCATCAAGTCTTCGGGGTCGTCAGGGCCCCAGTAAAACTGCTACTCCCAGGAATGTTGGCAGCCCCTCGCGTTCTGGACGACATGTTGACTCAGACTCTTCTGATCAAGCCCCCCAAACTGATAACAATTCGTCAGCACCCCCTACCCAGGGCCGCCAACTTAGGAAGCGGAATTTGTCACTACTTGCGAAGCAGCGAAAATCTATGCGGGAAGCTGAAGGAATAGAGTCCTCAGAAGATGAGGATGCTAATAAGGCCATCAAGTCTCGAAACCCGGCCAAAGGCGGCGGCCGGCGCACCAGGTCGACCGGACTTTCCAAAGTCCAAATGCTTCCTTACGGTTACGATGACGACGAACTCATTGTTTCTGATCTAAAGCCCCCGCCCGGTAGGCGTCACCGAGGCCTCGTATCATCAAGGCGTAGAAATGCAACGGGTGCTGGATACGGGAGTTCCGATTATGGCAATGACGATCCTCCTGAGAGGCGTTCGGGGCGGACAACAGGACGCAAAAATATGTACCGAGAGCCGGACCCAAATGCCTCCGACGACGATTTCATGGATATCGACACTGTTGCTAAGCCTAAAAAGCCCCAAATTGTTCGTGCCAAAGAGATATTCCCGTCTTTGGACAAACATGGAGATTTTGCTAGATTTCACGATCGTACATGCGATACCTGCCTCGACCACGGTACCTCTAAATCAAGGGGTATCCTGATATATTGCCAGGGTTGCTCTTACACCTATCATCAACTTTGCCTAGGACATCGTAACAATCGCGAGCATCTTATCACCAAGGTGGCCGGCAAAAACCATGTTCTGCAATGTAAACGCTGCATAGGAAAGGCTCGACTTAAGAGACCCACTGCACCGTATCTAGATAAGTGCACAGCATGTCGTATCACAGGGAAATCTTGTCAACCCTTCTCAAACCTAAAGAACAAATCTACGCAGAAAAAGGATGCATCAGCGAATGCTAGTGCTGAAACTTCTGACGTTGAGGTTGATCCAGAACGGCTCTATACCCCTGAAAACGTCCTATTCCGCTGTCGTGGATGCCGAAGGGCGTGGCATTTTAACCATCTACCTGCTACTGCTGAGAGTGTCGGCAAGCCTACTGCCGAAAATCGGCTGGAGGAATATTCACGAGAATGGAGATGCGACTTATGCCAGGAACACAGGGAGAAGGCTGATGTTATCCTCGCATGGCGTCCCTCTGACAAGCAGGCTAGACAGATGAGACCAGAATTAATCGACTACACAGACTTCGTTGAAGACGAGCGCGAGTACCTAGCCAAGTTCGCCAGGCAATCTTACTTTCATTGCATTTGGTTGCCTGGGGCATGGGTTTCCGGAGCTTTCCCCTTGCTTCATACAGGGTTCATGAAGAGGGGTCCAAAACTTTGTATGACGACTGAAGAGGCTGTTCCCGAGGAGTGGCTTCGGATAGAGATCTGCCTAGATGTTGAATACGACTCCTATGTCCCAGTCGGTAGTGACGCAGAACTCGACCTGTTGAGGATAACCGATGTGACTAAAGCTTATGTCAAATTCAGAGGCTTGGGGTACGAAGAGGCGGCCTGGGAACAACCTCCCAAGGAGAGTGAGAAGGAGAGGTGGGAGGAATGGAAGCAGGCCTACGGAGATTATATCCATGGATTTTACGTCCGCGGCGCAAGAGGGATTCTCGATCGTATAAAGAAGGCTCGTTCTCTCAACTTTGATCAAAAGCTTGTAAAAAAGAAGCAACCTGAGTATGTAAAAGGCGGAACTTTGATGGACTATCAAATGGAGGGACTAAAGTAAGTTATTACAACTTACCAATTTCAAGCCTCGATATACCATGTGCTAATGCTCTTACAGTTGGCTATACTATAAGTGGTGGAAAGGTCAGAATGCAGTTCTCGCGGACGAAATGGGACTTGGTAGGTTCAGCCCTGGTCCTTGTCTGAGTGCCACTAATTTGCCGCAGGGAAAACGATCCAAGTCATATCGTTCCTATCAGTGTTGCTTGAGGAGCATAACGTGTGGCCCTTCTTGATCGTTGTTCCTAACTCGACCGTGCCGAACTGGTCAGTATAGCGCACCATGCGTTGGCATAACACCTTCTTTGACGAAACGCTAACACTGTCGAAAGGAAACGAGAAATACAGCGTTGGCTTCCCAACATGCGGGTGGTAGCATACCCCAGCGTCGACACTGCTCGCAGGCTTTCAGTATTTCCCCCTACGTAGGTTATTGTGATGCTGTGTTAACTAAAGGTAGAAAAAATACGAAATGTTTCATCCTGGCACCACAGATCTCAAATGTCACGTTGTTGTTACATCCTACAACACGCCTGTTTCCGACGCAAAGACCCTTAGGCCAATCCGTTGGCAAGCACTAATTGTTGATGAAGGACAGAGATTAAAGAATGACCGGAGCCAGTTCCACACCGAGATGGCGAAATATCATGCTGGTTTCAAGCTCTTGATGACCGGCACGCCATTGCAGAACAATCCGAGGGAACTTTTTAATTTGCTGCAATTTCTGGATCCAAAGCTACAGGCAGCCGAGATGGAGGAGGAATTCGGGGAACTCACAAAAGAGAATGTGCCCAACCTTCATGCTATGATTCGGTAGGCTCTCTTTTACATGAACTCATGGTTTCTGGGACTCATACTGACCCTGGACAGACCATACTTTTTGAGAAGGACCAAAGGCATGGTGCTGGACTTACCGCCAATGACCGAGATCATCGTCCCTGTCAGTATGACTAATGTTCAGCGGAAACTCTACAAATCCATTCTAACCAAGGATACTGCCCTCATTAAATCGATTCTTGCCAAACATGGAAAGGGGAAAATCAAGCTTACTGAGAGGACAAAGCTTAATAACCTGCTAATGCAGTTAAGAAAGTGTCTTTGTCATCCTTTCCTCTATAACGAGGACATCGAAGAGCAAAATGTTGACCCGGAAACTGCACACAAAAATTTGGTTGACGCTGGGTCCAAGCTGGAGCTACTAAGCCTATTGCTACCAAAGCTCAAAGAAAGGGGACACAGAGTGCTTATGTTTACCCAGTTTTTGGGTATGTTGGATATTCTAGAGGACTTCCTTTTTGCACTAGATCTCAAATATCAGCGTCTCGATGGCGCGGTGTCAACTCTTGAGAGACAAAAGAGGATTGATTCATTCAATGCCCCGAATTCCGAGTATTTCGCATTCATGCTTTCGACGAGAGCCGGAGGAGTTGGGATTAACCTCGCAACAGCAGATACTGTCATCATCCTAGATCCAGATTTCAATCCTCATCAAGACATCCAAGCTTTATCCAGGGCCCACAGGATTGGACAGACGAAAAGAGTGCAGGTCTTTCATCTCGTGACTAGAGATACAGCAGAGGAAAAGATCATTCAAATTGGCAAGAAGAAGCTAAGCCTCGACCATTTGATCATAGAAAAGATGGATGCTACAGAAGAAGAGGAAGTTGATGTGGAGAGTATCTTGAAATTCGGAGCTAGGGCGCTATTCGAAGACGAGGGAGAAGCATCTGAGGCGAGAAGAATCCGGTACGATGACGATAGCGTGGACAAGCTTCTCGAAAAAGTTGCTACAGAGGAGCCAACAGTCGCTGAGAAAGACGGAGCAAACACTGGGGAAACTGCCTTCAGTTTCGCCCGAGTCTGGGCTAATGATACATCAGTATTGGAGGAAGGCTTTGGTCAAGAGCAAGAGGAGGAGGCCCCGCTCGGATTCTGGGACAAAGTTTTGAAGGAGCGGGAAGAGGAGGCTCGGCTAGAAGCAGCTTCCAAAGCCGAAGAGTTTGGGAGGGGGAGGAGAAACAAAAAGGTTGATTACAGAATGGGGTTCGATTTTTCTTCCAAACGGGGTCCCGAGGCGACGAGTGACACGGATTTTCATGATTCCCTAGGCCCCGAATCGGACTCGGAGGAGGGCCGGGCAGGGAGCGAGGTTTCAGACAAGCTTCTAAATGCTAACCGTACTCAGGACTTTGGTCCCCAAATCACACCAATTATCCCCCAAATCCCAACAGAACCAACCCCCCGAGACTCCAACCTCACGGCGATGCCGCGTCCTCCCCCACCTTACATTCCGCATCCAAACCGACATATTCCTGTTGCTCAGCCCCCTTACCCTCCTTACCCTCCTTACCCCCCTCAACCTCCTCCCGCATCATTCAATAGAACCCCAATCGACAAGTTTCATCCGCTACAGTCGACACAGCACGTTTATGGTGCCCCTCCCGCACCTGCTATGCCTAGCAGACCGATGGCACAAATGATGCCCGCTGCTCCCGTCGCCCCGATTGCACCCATGGTTCCTCCTCCGCTTCACGTTTTCCACACCGCACCTGGCTCGGTGACCATGTCCTATCCAAATCTCAACGGTAAATGCTTAGCTTGTGGCAACCCCCACCCACCAGGCCAGTGCCCGCTGAGAGAGATCCCTGCGCAGCATTGCCAACTTTGCTCTACCGCACATCTCCCTGGTATAAACACTTGCCCGCATCTTAGCAGCGAGACCCAGGTCAATGAGATGCTCATGGCGGTCAATTTGAGCCCAGAAATGCCGGTGCTAACTGCAGGCGCGAAGCAACTCTTAAGGGAGCGTAAGGGGGAAATAAAATTGAAGAAGAAGGAGGTAGCTAGAAGGAGACAAGCTTCTATGAATAGTGCTCCATCGGCAAATGGGTATTAGAGTTTTTACTTTCCGCGCCCCGCCGACCTCCGATCCCGCTTACATCCCTTGGCCGCACCTCTCATTATACCGGTACTCTGCTCCCTTTTCTCGACTTTCTCCCCCCGATCTCAATCGCTGCCAAAAAAAAGGAAAAAAAAAAAATCTAAACTTTCCTTTCTATGACTTGATACTGTCTCAGGTGGTTTACCTAAATTTAATACCATCCTTTTTTTCTCACTCGCTCATTTTCTTTTCTTTACTTCTGCTTTTTATGGCATTCTTCCGGTGGCTGGCTTAGAGGATGTGAGGTTACCGGCGTTGAGTTATAGTCATATGTATAATTGTGCAAAAGGGGAGGAACTCGTCGTGTTTAGTAGATGGCTACTCTGAGCAATAAATTTTTTTTTCAAAAAAAAAAAAGCAAGATATTTAGCTAATACAAGTCATATCATTGGTCTTCACTCGCATGAAATTTGTTTTGCCGCTATCGTGGTCATTGACTCAGTGACAGGGCAAACGATAATTAGCCGGCTTTTATCAGTTAAGTTAGACTGTTCGGTAGGTTTTGATTGGGTTCCTTTGTCGGAGCCCGATGAGTGAAGCAACTATGTCAGAGCGCCGGACACTAGACTAACGACAGAGTTGTTCTCCCCTCGATCATTTTATAATACTATAAAGTTACTCTACAATTGTGAGCGGCACTCGACAGCACAGGCATCATACTCAGGGATTTCTTTACTCGAGGTTGGCGAATTGTATGGCAGGGTATCCTACTCGCGTACATGATCAACCCCAGAACCGGGATGAGGGCCCAATCGACGGGTGGGAGAGTGTTTGAATTAATCATTTCCGTATTTCTGCCGTGACTCGTGCATGGTAATAATTCACTTCAAAAGTGCTCGAAATTGATACGAAATTCGTTCCCAACGAATCCTGAATGACACCCACACCAGAAACACTTCTCAGGCAGCAATTCATTTTGACCGCCGTATGATACATAGAGTGGGCACCGAACGGATGCCATCCCCACTTGTGGTATTATAGAATTTCACGGGAGGAAGAGAGCAGAAAAACGAGAGGTCTGCCAAAAAGGCTTGGCACTGACGCTGAAGTCTCGACATGGGATCGAAGGAAAGGCGAGGAAGGGGAAAAAAAAAAAAAAAAAAAGGAAGTTGACGGTATGATACTATAGGACCAGCATGATAGGCTGCTCCCACGCATCAGGCTCTCCCTCGAGTTAATCATCCACAACAATTTTTATTTTTATTTTTTTCCCTTTCACTCTTATCCCTCTCTATTTCTTCAATCATAACTAACATTACTTGCCCTTTCTCCTCCCTCTTCTCTCTCCTCCCTCCTACCTACTACCCCCGCCCCTCTCACCCTCCTTCCTATTTACTCCATCTGTCGCGTATCTTCTTCCCCCCAGTTGACCCTTTCCTCGGTCGTCGAAACCCTTCACAAAAGTTCCATTCACAGACTCGAGAGCCAACCCGGAATTCTGACGGCCATCGCCAAAAATTTCCATCGCTCCCTCTTTTCACAATCTACTCCTAATCTCATTTCCATTTTCCTGTCCATTGAATTTACGACTTGACGAGCCCACGACGTTATCCCTTTAAGTTTACGGTTTATTTCCAATTTTTTTCTTAATCGCCATCACGGAAAAACCCTTGCTACCACCGTCGTTTTAACCCTTCTGTCTTCCCTTTTCATTTGCGCAGCAGATTCAAAGTTTTCAACGAACCCCGAGTTTCTTCTGCTCTTTCTAGCCTCTATCCAATCAACGCCACGAGAAAACAAACCTTTACTGTGCCATTATCGTCCCCCATCGCCGGAGACCAAAGCACTTACAAAAGTCCCGCTCGATCTCCCTCCCTTTACAACTCACGACTCAAGCAACGACAATGAGCAGACGCAAGATTATTTCTCGTCGTCGTGGCCCTGAAGATGAAGAGGATGAGGAGCTAGGAGCTGAAGACTCTTACACTGATGATTCTGGCCTTAGCGAAAGTGAGAGGGAGGAGGATGCGGCTACGGATGGGACTCTTAGCGAGGAAGAAGGGGACGATTTAGACGAGGGGGAAGTTGCGGATAAGGGCAAAGTAGTGGGGGCGAATGGTAGGGGTGGTGGGAAGGCAAAGTTTGTGCACAGTGGTAATAGGGATACGGATGTTATGATGAATGGCGTGCGGGGAAAGGATGACGATGCTGAAGAGGTGGATTTCTCCGAGATGGGAGAGGATGACGGGGCGGAGAGGGCGCTGGCCGGGAATTCCCAGGGCGAGGCTGCAGAGGAGGATCTGAGTCATGAAGAGACGGAGCAGGAGGAACCACAGTCACAGGAAGCCGAGGAGAAGCCCCATGAGACTGCGGAGGAGAAGAGGAGACGAGAGCATGAGGAGTATAAGAAGAGGAGAGATGCCGATCCTGCGTTTGTGCCTAACAGGGGTGCCTTTTATTTGCACGACCATAGGCACGCTGAGGGATTCAGACCTTTTGCGAGGGGCGGCGGAAGGGCAGGAAGAGGCGGTCGATCTTCTAGGTATGTTGCTGCCAGCGTGTGGAAATAACCCCTTCGCTTTGACACTTGACGTATTAGGCTGGCTGGGCTAACCCTTCAAAGTGAATATATGAACAGTAATGCCCCCGTTGAGCTTCAGTGGCAGCATGATATGCATGAGGAAATTCATACAGATCACCGCCGTTCAATGCCTGTTCATCAAAGCAACCACTCGTTTGCGCCTAATAATCGCCTACGAGGAAATGGAGACCCACCACGATCTTTTGGACGGACCTTTTATCAGGGAAATGTTCAGATTCAGGTCAATCTCCCGGGGATGAAAGCACCCATCACATTTAGTGAGGTTCCGTCGAAGGTGTACACAAGGCTACCCTACCACCGACCTCCGCTTCGACGAGACAAACCTGTCCGAATTGCACTCCCGGATGCACCAGTTAGATACATTTATCCGAGCCCCACTCGCTCATTTATATTTATTCCGAGAGCGATGAGGCCGGGCGGGTCAGGATATATAAGAGGTGGTGGCCGCGGTAGAGGTGGATTCTACAGTCAAGGGAGGAGTGTTTATGGCGGCTCAAATGGATATTCTCCGTCAGTTGGGATGTCCCGCAGATCGTCTCTACAGTTCGAGCACAAACCCCAGTTCACACCTCCCATGCCTGCACCGGCTCAACCCCACCAAGTTGCAGCACCTATCGCTGGTCATGTCGAATCGTCTTCTCGACCATCGGTTGGAGAGGAAGAGGCACCAGCTAAGCCTGTCGTCAGGCTGCCAGTCGTACCTCAGCAGCAACCGGCCCAACACCAACAACAGGTTCACCCTCAAGCTATGATGCCACAACAACCACCTCAAGCCCAAACTCCAAAGATTGTTCCGCAGCACCCGCCACCATCATATACACCTAACCCCGTCGCATACCGTGAGCATCGGGCTACTCCAAAGATCCCAATGCATCAACCGCGACCACAGAAAGCTGTCAACGTCGCCGAGATAGACTCTCCGGCTGTTATGCACTTTCCTCAGTCTTATAGTGGTCATATGTATCCGGAAAATATTCCCACCCCTGGTGTCTCTCAGAACATGTATGCCCATTCTCGACAAGCTTCATTCCCATCCCAATCCTCTGGAACACCGCTCTCTCATATCCCGGAGGCCGCTGTTCATGCCCGAGCCTTTCATCCTGCATATCCCCCCCAGCCCGGATACTACCCGTATCCCCCGCCGCCCCAGCATGTCCCCCCAATGCACCCAATCCATGGGCTACCGCCGCACCACCACGACCCTAGGGCCTTTCACCCACCTCCTCCATATGTTCCTTCGGGGCCATCGCCTATGCCGAATGGTGCTACCAACCATTACGCTATCATACCCGCTCAACAACAGGCTCCTGCTCCGCCCGTAGCCGTGACAACCGGTCCACCCACCGGCCCTACAACAATTGCGCAGGAAAGCAACGGGATGGTCTACTATTCTACTTGGGATCCTAATCAATACTATACCTATTCAACTGGGGGGCCTACAGGCTATCCCGGCACCCCTGGTATGCCAATTACCCCCGCTCCGGATGGCTCCGTGAATGGTGCACCGGGCCCAGGACCAGTGTACTTCTACCCAGGAGCTCAAACACCGCACCAGCATCCTATCTACTATGCGCAGTAAATGTCTGAACTAGAAGAATGGATTTTCTACCCATGGAATACTCTTTTGTACCTGTCTTTTCCTATTAATTGTTTCCGTACTCATGGTAGCTAAATCCTCGGTACTAGTTTCTGCCTTTTCTTTTTTTTCCCTCCTTCCCTTTATCTCAGAGCCTAGCTCATAGTACTTTCACTTTCAGGGCAGCCTCGCACGATTTTTCTTCACGCTCATCAATTCTCATATCTTCCATTCTGTTAGCACTGTGCAATCCTGACTCTTAACTCACAGAAACTGTTGCCAGCCCATTGGCCACCACGGAGGCGTTTCCAAGGGTTTCCAAGAGGATGGAGAAAAAAGCGTTTCCGTCATGTCGTGTACTTCACCTGGTCATCTTTCTTTTCCACTCTTCCTTTTTCTTTTTTTCTTTTTTTTGACAAGGGAAAAAATGCATTAAATTCGTGTGATACTTATCATTATTCCGCTTCTTCATTTTCATCACCAACTCCTTTTGCTAAATTACCTCTTCCTATTTCCTTCTAGGAGTGTCTTGAATAGCCTGTTTTGTTTTGTTTTCGCTTTGCGTGTTCGTCATTTGCCCACAGTCTGATCATCTACTGTTATCATCACCAAATTCCTTCATCTCTTGCGGCTTTCCTCGCTCTATCTTCTTACCAGTAGCTTGGTCTTTGTTTATTTTTTATTTTTTTTGCCTTTTTTCCTTTCCACTCTAAGTCTTCAAATGGGGGAACCCTTGAATATGCATGGTGCCATAGAAGCATGGATCATTTTCTTTTCTTTTCCCCTCCTTCTCTTTCTATTTTATCTGCTGATCTTCTATTTATCGTGCTTTCCATTTCTTTCCCTGTTTTTTTCTTCCTTTCCATCCTTCCCTCTTTCTCTATTTCGAACGCGGTTCTTGTAGTCTGGTTGGCTTATGAGTCGGTGGGGAGGGGGGGGGAGTACGGACTGTACTGGTATCACGGGTGTTCCTGGCATTCAATTTTCAGTTTCTTCTTTTTTTTTTTTTTTTTTTTTTGTTCTTTTTTGTCTTTCTTGTCTTTCTTGTTCTTTACCTTT